AATTATATAAATAAAAAAGGTATAAAAGATCATAAAGAAAGTAAAAGTCCAGTTCTCTCTCTTACAAAACGTATTTGCACATACAAAACGTCATCTTTTCGTCATAATTTTATATAGATCATTTATTACAAAGTATATACTTTGCATTTCTAATATATCTTGTAACAAGATAAATAATATTACATAACAAACATAAAAAATAACTCGAAGGTACATGGTAAGCGCCGGACGGATTATCTCTTCCGAAATATGTAATTGTTGTAGGTAATATAACATTGCTGAAACAAAATTATGTTGCCATAAATATATTTGTGATATAATTTTGCATAACACTTCATTATAATAACATAAATATTTATATTTATATTTATATATTGTAAATGCGTAAAATTTTGTTATTATAAAGCGCTATAAGGCGCGGGCCGATACATCGGCTCTGGCACTTCTCGCCAGTGCAGCAAGAGCCGATATATCGGCCTCCGGCACTAAAAGGGTTAAACTTTATCGTTCTTTATCCGAAGTTTTCCATTTAAATAACGTCAGAGAGGTCGATATTTTTTAATGTTTTAAAACGATCTCGTCGTTCTATTGCAATCTAATCTACCCTGTCTTAAAGTAAACACTTCCAGCTTTCATTCAGGTCGAATTTCCTGGAAATAGCCTCGCGAGAACGTATTTCAAAGCTCGTCGGAACTATCGTTTTGAATTCGTGCAATTTTCCTTGGTTTTTTTTTTCCCTAGGTGTCAGAGGTCTCTCTCTCCGTGAACGGACTTATTACACAATCTAATAAAAGCACACGCGAATTACGGCTCTCCGATGACGTATATCCGACATTATCCGGCGATAGATTCGCGCTGACACCGCAGACGACCCAAGGCCGTGTCGCACCTTTGTCGGCTTATCGCGACCAACTAGCCAGACTACTTACGCTGTGAGAATCGAGCATTTATCGCATTACACCTCCTGGAATTGTATTTATAACGTGCTCCAGGAAGCGGCTGCACGACGGATCCACGTGCAGCGCCGATTAGAGCGCGGGACGTGCTCGAATAAGTTGTTCGGGATAGATTAACACCGAGCCCATCGAATTATACCTGTTCTACGCGTGACCGTTCCGCCAATATGGACGTTCTTCGTGTCGTTCTTCGCCGCAGCGTTTACGCAAAACTCCCACGCGCCCGCCTCGACCGCAGACACTCCGGGAATCAAGAGCTTGTCAAAATAAAGACTGCGGTTCGCCGCCCACGAACCCGGGAAGGTGCAAAATCCAGGTAGCCGGGTTATCTTTTGTTGGGGCTAAATGGATTCCCGGAGAGCGACGCTGCGCGCCGTTCGACGAGGTGCGAAAGCACGCTTTAAAGAGGAAACACGAAGCCTATCCGACCATTAAAAGCGCATTTCGCGCCGCCAGATGCACGCGTACGTCTTTTCGTCGGCACTTTCCCCGATCGATCGTACTCGCGCCGTTCGTCCGCGAATCGGCGTTGCACCTTCGAGGCGCCCCGAGCTTCAATCGTTGCGCAACATTTGATGACCGATCATCGGGAAAAGTGGAAATCGGATCATCCGAAGAGGCAGGCACGTCCAATCTCGAAGACGGTAGTAATTAGACAGCGAATATTTCCGGAAAGTAAAAATTGTTTGAGTTAATCGTGAGAAACACAAGTCGGATGAAAATATCTTTTTGCTTTTAATAATTATAATAAGTTAAAGATAATGCAACGATATTCTCAAATTTTTCCAACGACATTACAATTTTATATTTCACTGTTCGTTTTTATCGTAAACGCGTAAAATATAATAATATAATAATATATAAAATAGGGAAAACTGGATATCGGACCGTCCGAAGGGAAAAGTGCAGGCACGTCCAATCTCGAAGACGATAGTAATTAGACAGCGAATATTTCCGGAAAGTAAAAATTGTTTGAGTTAAGCGTAAGAAACACAAGTCGGATGAAAATATCCTTTTGCTTTTGATAATTATAGTAAGTTGAAGGTAATGCAACGATATTCTCAAATTTTTCCAACGACATTACAATTTTATATTTCACTGTTCGTTTTTATCATAAACGCGTAAAATATAATAATATAAAATATAATAATAATATAATAATAATATAATAATATATAAAATAGGGAAAACTAGATATCGGACCGTCCGAAGGGAAAAGTGTAGGCACGCCCAATCTCGAAGACGATAATAATTAGACAGCGAATATTTACGCAAAGTAAAAATTGTTTGAGTTAATCGTGAGAAACACAAGTCGGATGAAAATATCTTTTTGCTTTTAATAATTATAATAAGTTAAAGATAATGCAACGATATTCTCAAATTTTTCCAACGACATTACAATTTTATATTTCACTGTTCGTTTTTATCATAAACGCGTAAAATATAATAATAATATAATAATATACAAAATATAATAATAATTCTTCGGAATCATATTTATTCTTGCAAAACCTTGAACGACCGAAATTGCACTGTTAATTTTAGTATAAGAAGATCGGAGGTCGGAAATGTTTCGGCAGCTTTCATCGCGATCGGACGTCCGTCCGCGGACTATTCGCCGATCGATTAAGCTCGCGGCGTCTTCGTTAATCGGCGGTTGCGAATACCTTCGAAGGAACCCGGGGCGTCCACGGAATCGTTACGCGAGATTAGATGCCGCGATTTATTAGGCAGTCGCCCCCGGCTGCGGCGACGTCACGCGCGACATAACTTATCGTTGGGCAGCGATGCAAGCGATACAGAGAATAGTCGTATATAACGAAGGTTATGGTGTTACCGGTGGATGGTGGAGTGGCACGGTGTCCAGTGACTCCCATGTCGGCTTGTTATCCGGACCGCCCCATCGTTATCTGCAATTACCCGAAAACAGCCCCTAGTTTATAAATTATAGACCACCCCGTCCCCATCCCCCTCCTGCAACATCCCCGTCCACGATCCTTCCCCTCCCTTCCACCCCTGGAAACGCCGTGCACCGCGCCCTTCCTATCGGCCTCCAGGCCCCAGCTTCCGCCAGGATTACATCTGTCATCAAACGCAACCAATTACGCTCAATTATCCTGGGCCGGCCACCCCCTTCCACGGTGATGACCCGTATCTCGCGATGTCATCGTGGCCGTCGCGCGTCGTTTGGCCGGCGACAACGTTCGCGCGGTCGTTATCGCGGTTTGGTGAACGTATGGTCTGGTGAAAAGTTTGCCGCGAGAAATCGGCGCAGCCGGTCGCCGAACTTTCTGCCGACTTTAACGAGCGACCTTGTCGAGCTGCGATCATTTTTTATACTTGTTCTGCGTGTCCAGATGTACACAGGGCAGAGTCAATTTAACGTTGCGGAAAGAAGAAGTTTCTCTATCATCATTATTATTATTATTTTATTATTATTATTATTATTATTATTATTTTTATTATTATTATTATTATTATTATTATTATTATTATTTATTTCTCTTGTTTATATGTACCAATATCATTGATCGTCCTGTGAAGTTCAACGATCGCGAAAGTTCCATATTCCCCTGCGTCGCCTTAGAAACCGCCCTTTCTTTGTTCTTCCGTCTCGTAGGACTACATTTGACGAATGCAATTGTCTAAATCGTACACATACAAATGCTGATCGTTATTGTTACTTTTGGAATTCTTTTGTTAAAAACCTAAATTTTTGATGCGACGTTGTAGCATCCTCTTTTATCTTACTCGTCTGCCATTGTTTAACTATCTACTATGGACTGGTTGTATTTTCTTTATCCTTGTAACAAAGGGTTTTTACCCGCGAATACTAAATAAATAATAATAATAATAATAATAATAATAATAATTTCTGACGTCGACCAATTGATTTATTTTCTCTTCTCATTCCTCGAATAGCGATCGAATGGCGGCCGTTATTATTACTAGCCGAAAGTGGGTTTTTTTCACATGTGACTTCTACAGATGAACTAATCAATACTGAAATACAAAATTTAATGACGATAATTCCATTCTCTTAGTTTTGTCTCCTACTTTGTCTATCTACTTGAATAAAATTCGAATTCGAATGAAATAATTATATTTCCGCGAAAAGGTTCGCAATGGGGCAGATCTCTCGTCGCGCGTCTTTCCAAAGTATCCGAAAGGGCACGTCGGGCCGCGTTTTGGCGTGCAAGCGGGCCCCGTAGTATGATTTCGCGATTATCGTCGGGCGCGGAAGCTAGACGCGTAAGATCCGAGATTACGAGACGTAATCCTCGATTCGAAGCGATTTTCTCGACTAGTCGTGCTACGCACAGTTAGAGGGTCGGGCGTATCTCGGGGACAATGCGATCGGCCTGCTCGAACCATTGTCGCCGAGACGTTTCAATGGGCATTACGACAATGAACTGTTGACAACTGTGCGTCGCGTTGCGTAAAGGGCGGCGGTTCCCTTTTAGTTAGGTTCCCTTCGACGGGTATAAGCCTGCTTGACTGTACTTTTCACGCCCTTTTCCACCGGCCCGAGGACGCCATGGAATTATTATGTCGCGTGACCACCCTTCTCCTACGTAGCGGGCAAACATCTGCTATCGTAAATATTAACGAGTTCGTCCGGATGCGACCATTAGCGCGTCGATTGCCGTCGCAATTCTTCATCTTGGATGTATGTATTATACATTGGTATTTGAACGGATCGATTTTTAGTAAAGGTTTCGTCGGTCGACGAAGAAGCTGCCGAAGAGGAATTCGTTTCATCGACAGTTCGGCGGTCGACAACGCGTCGAGTCGCATCGGTTCAGGACGAGCGCGTTCGACAAGTTTTAGAGCGCACAGTATAAAGAAAAGAAATATCGAACAGAGTTGAAAGAAAATCTACGACGACACACGCATCTGTTCGTTCGCATTTCCTATTCACGCCGCCATTGCAACCGAACGAATCGCTGCGACACAATTCGATCCCTCGCATACGATTGAATTAGGTTTCAATTTTGTTGACACACGGAACTCACAGGAAGAAGGCGGTTGCGGCAGAGAGCAAACTTGTATAACAGCCTTTATTTTATCGATATGCTACAATCTTAATAGACGCGCGTTACGCACCACCCCGTGGCCGTGTCCCGCAAATACGCGATCCGCCGTTCCGTGCTGATCTTCGCACCACGCGGCGCGTTACAATAACTATTACGAGACTTAACATTGCAGAAATAGGACAAGCGATATGATTCATAATCCGTCGCGTTCACTCCGATTACACGACACAATTGGGCTAGTCCTCCTAACAGAATTGCATCTTCCAGGCCACGCTATCATCATCATCATCATCATCATCATCATTATCATCATCATCGATTCGTTAACGATCGCGGCGCTGCAACCCCTCGACCGTCTATCCCCTAACCGTCGATAATATTTATGTATGTATAATAAGATTGGCTTTAGCACAAAAATACATCTTCGTAATTACATGTAGACCATCTCCGTGGTAAGAATCGGAGCCCCTATATCGTAAGTAACGTTCCCGTAGCATAAAAAGTTCAAACATCGAAAATCTCTCTCTCTCTCTCTCTCTCTCTTTCTTTCTATCTATCTATCGCTCACACACTCTTTCTCTCCCTTTCTCTCTCTCTCTCTCTCTCTCTCTCTCTCTCTCTCTCTCTCTCTCTTGCCCTGGAATTCTTCGAACAGTCGCGAAAAGGAAAAAGACATTCCTCCGTTCTGCCGACGAAGACTCGCGCACCGACGATCCCTAACAACGTTGACTTCGTCACAGAAACACGACACGCGATGCTCGTCATCTGTATACATATATGTATGCACGTACGTACGTATGTATGTAATGTATATGTATTTATATATTTACACACGAAGTTTCAACTTTATTTTTTTTTTTTTTTAATATGCGCTTGGAAGACAGAGGTTCATATGTTACGCACATATCGATATAATTGTAATAAATTGATATGCGTCGTGAAGTGTGCGCGCGTCGTGCACGCGCGCACACACGCGAAACACATACGGGTATTTCATTCTTTTTCATTTTCTTTTATCTTTTATACTCTTAAGTATGCGATTCACCTCGGTAAACTATAGCTACGTTCATACGGGATCGGAGAATCGAGCTCGACTTGATCGATGCCCACCGCCGTTCGTCTTCGTTCGCTTCCGTTGTCCCCCTATTACCGCGGCCTACGAAGTCTTTGAAACGTACGAGGAGCGTAAGGATCGATATTGCAACACGATTATCTAAGCCGTTTCGCGTCCTAAATCCGACTCGATCGTCCCAGGAACGAGTGATTTCCATATTCCTTTTACCTTTCGTTTTTATTAACGCTCTAAAAGTACATCGTTGATATGGTCTATTCATCGACTAACAATGAATGCACGTTCGTGATATGTTTTAAAGGATCATTAAAAACTCCGCGCGGTCGCCGAAGTTCGCGACGATCACGAAATCCAAAGAACACAGGGGCAGAAACCGAAAACCGACCGATCGTGAATCGGGATCTTGCCGAAACAGCAGCTTTCAGGGAGCTTCCCGGCCGAGAGATAATCGAACGACAGAACCGGGTCGCGATCTTCGCCGATCGCGGCAACATATTTACACGATATATTACATCGACGATCAGAAATAGTCTGAAATTAGACGACCTACAGCTCTAGCGATCGTAACACACGTAGGATTTAGAGATGCGAGAGCACGTGGAACAATCGAAGGAAATCATTGTCGTCTCGACGACGAGAAACCTCCGCCCCGGCGATGTACGCGTTCGAACAACCGAATGGAACAGGCTCTAGGCAAAGTTTGGGGTCGCGGATGTGCGTCTAGCGAGAAAAGAGGATTCCGAATCGGTGGAAAACTAGCAGAGAGGCGAACGTTAGCGACGGGACTCGTACGAAAATGGAGTCTCGTCAGCGGCGGAAGCAGACGGAAAATCGCTACATGCAAATAAACAAGACGATTGCGATCGGTCCGCGGATCCTCGTGAAATGCGAGGAAACTATTGTAGAATCGTGTGTAACCGAAAATTTGCATAAAGATCCGCGTCCTGATAATAACGATGGTAACTGGACCGCGGATCTTCGGGAGTCGAAGAAATTTGAAAAAAGAAAACACAGCAAAACGTTCAGCGCGCGCATCCTTGATCGAATGAAAGCGGGAGCTCGCGCGAAGATCCGCGGTCTATCGATAACAATAACAAATATAGTAGCACGTATACGTTGAAACTCGAGAAACGGGACATTCGACGTCGCGGTAAGGATCGATCGATCGATCGATCGACCAGTTCCTACCGAATTGTTAGCTGCCTGATGGGGCTTTGTTCTCCGAACGGCGACGCCGATGCCGATTTTTCACGAAATCGGCAGCGACGCCGGCGGATCCGCGGAATCCGGCTCCGCGAATTCGCTCGTTCGATTCTTCGCGTCGATCGACGCGTCCTTCCTCGTCAATGATGCGTCGTTCGAATCGTCGACGTCGTTGGATCGCGTGGAGCAACGAGTCGAGATCCAGCGAACGATCTATGAAGATCGTTGCGATCGCGATCGGCCCGGGCGACGTAGAAGGGCGATAGCGATCGATCGCTATCGCCGTCCTCGTAGCTGCTGGAAATCCTCTCGCCGCTCGGCTGGATGCATCGACGGTTCCCCTTACTCCATGGTGTCGTACTTGACCTTTTTCACTTTGAAGTAGCGATACCCTGCGTAGCCGGTGATGGTCAGCAGAACGGCGGCTGCTAGCGTCGATCCGACAGCGACCGGCGCGGTCTCGTCCCGAAATCCGCGCGCGCTCAGCGCCGTGCAGGAGAACTCGGCTGCGAACTCGTTGTTCTTGTACTTGAACGGCTGCAGCTTCATGTCTCTGAAATTTGTCGGATCGTATCCCTCCGTCAGTTGATTTTCGTGCCACGATATAAACAGCCCGTATCAGCGATCCGGCGATTTACCTGAGAAGCACGCTGGCGTGGTTCTTGCCGTCGGTTAGGGGGATTTCCGTCTCCCCGCTGCAGGCGTACGATTTTCCGACAGGCGTCGGGAACAACATGGAGCTGTGCTTTTGGCCGGTGCTCAGTCGAACTGTTTTGTCTTGGAGGGAAAAGAAAATTGTAATCGATTGATTATCGAACTTCGAGAGAAAGAGAGAGAGAGAGAGAGAGAGAGAGAGAGAGAGAGAGAGAGAAATTAGGTGCAACTTACTCGGCTGATCAATGTGCTCGAAGTGGCGGTCGCTGGAGTTGTAGGTCAGCTCGATCTTCTCGACGTACCATCGCTCTCCGCCGGGTGTCTGAAATGGTCGCAGGTTGCCTTTCGATCAACGAGTGTCTCAAATTGTCTAAGAATCTAGGTTTAAGGATCACCGGGACAGTATACTCTTAAATTTTCCCCTTTCATTCTAATCCCAGCGATATCTACCGGATGGTTGCACCAATCAAACCCTATTCTGTTGCACCCTTGAGCTTCGCGCAACCCCTTCAAAGAGGTCAAGGATGTAGGTCGTACGTCGTTAGAGACGGAGATCGTTTCTTAGAGACCGTTCTAGCTAGAAGAGCGTTCGCAGTGCCGCGTATGCATATCGGTTCGATAGATGTTTAAGAACGATATCGATACGATAAAAATATTCTTGTACATCAGGGGTGTCAAACTCGCGGTCCGAGATGAACATTTTTGATGTCAAGTATCAGGACGTGAACAATAATTTAACTTTATATATGTTTATTACAATGTACTAGTCAAAGTAAAAATATTTGTTTCTATGAACATTGATTTCTTTTTTTTGCGGCCCACCTAAAGTTAAGCATCGTTTATTTATCATTATGGCCCAAGTTAGCTTTTGAGTTTGACACCCCTGTTGTACATTGTCGATGAAAATATCTGCCAGGTAAAATATCCACGCGACCGTGTAGTGGTATAACGACAGACGTCCGATTTGTTTGATCGAATACGTTTTTGGCAGGATAGGTGAATCGATTACCTTGGCGAAGCTCCACAAAAGGACGAACGCCTTCCATTTCAAGGACATCGTGACCGTGTTCTCGTCGTTGCAGTTGCCGGTGACCGTGGCGTCGTTCGGAACATAAATGCTAGCCTCCTGCGACAGAACATCGTTGAAATTAACTCGGCGAACCCGCGAAACGGCGCTTGGTATCTCGAACGACATTGATGCTCACTCCATCTTCCCCAAGATTCGTGCGATATTTCACGGTGATCAGTGCGTCGACTTGCAACAGAATGCAGGCCTGCCCGTTGCTACGGTCCAAACGGTACAACGGCTGCTCCGACCCGAACGATTTGTGAATCGACACCGTTGTTGATTCCAGAAGTATCGTGGTCGTACTTCTCAGCTCAAAGTTCAAAACATCGTTGTCGTTAAAAACTGGGCTCTTAAAAAACGAAACTTACCATTTACTTTCACCGTTAAGACACGCGACAGGTTCTCTACGAAAGCGTCTAAAGTCGCAGCGTGCTCTAGCAACAGGCAACATTCGACAGAGTTTCAACGCGTCGATGATCTTGGTCGGAGATGATTCGGTGATTATCCGCAGATATAATCGCAAGAATCGTTTGCGCTAAAAGCGGAAAATTTCCCGCAACGACAACATCGTTTTCCAAGCGTTCGACGCGTTTCTTCTCAGCGTATCGTAAAGTTACTCCGCCAGTAACGACGAGTAATCCGCGGATTTTCGCTCTCGATCCCGTCAGTTCCGACTTTCTCCGCTTCTTAGAATCGCCTTGGAAAATCTTCGTTTCGCCTAAATTATCCACGGAAGGCGAGAAAGCTACGTGAAAAAGATGCTGTCGATGCGACCTCTCCGGCGTCCCCGCAGCAAACATCGTCCGATCGCATTGCCAACAACGTTCGAATCACTCTCGCGCTCCGAACTCGCCGTACGCTTCCTAAAACTATCGTTTCGCCGATCGAATGCAAGCGACTCCATAATTCGGTCGGGATTGTCTCTCACAACTTCCGACGCGTGTATCGATCGCGGAAAAAAAAACTATCCAACTAGTTCGACGCGAACTTCCCGATAAAATATTCACGAGCGACGCAGCCCGCCGTACGAATCGGCGCCCGAGGCTCGTTAGCGTCGTTTCGGGGCATTTTGTTTACAATGTACAGCTTGCCGTTTCTTTTTTCTTTTTTTTTTTCGTTTCACGGTAAGAGCGTTCTTACCGAAGCCTGCTTGGACTTCGAGCCGGGCAGGTCGAACGTCAATTTCGGCGTTCTGCGTGTCGTGTAGAGCTGATCCTCGAGCTTCTGTGGCAGCGGCGAAGGGCTGGGTAGGCTGATCGCCGAAGTCGAGACACACCCTGCGGAAAGGTCATTCGTTAGGCGATAGGGCAGTCGGTTTCCGCTGCACGCGACGCTTTTCCGGCACGAAGGCCGTCTTTAACAATGACTTTTTCGCGAGCTCGTTACGCCCGTTCCTTGAACCGGAAGGCATTCCCGAGGTGGTTCACTCTATCGAAAGGCGGCTACCCTAAACGCGAGCCTACAACCCAACCGAGTGCTGTCGGGCCGAACGACGTTGCTTATCGTTTCCCAAGAGGGGCTGTGCGGGATCACGCGACCGCTCCGGCCTCACGCAACAGCATTTTCTTTAATTATCTCTCGTTTCGCGGGCTAATCAGCCGCGAGTGCAACCCCATCGGGAGATTAAAACTGGAAAACCAACCGCCGTGGTTGCTCGGCGACGGGCAAGGGGTCGCCGTTCGTTGTACGTTCGAGCGAAACGGAGAAACGTGTCGAATGTAAAAGCGGATTGATTGATCTTTCTTTCGCCGAGGGGCTTCTTCGTTGAACGTTCGCGGGTCGGCTAGACAGAAGATCCGAATTCGAGTACTGCGACGCGACTTGCGAAGCCACTGGCCGCAGAGGATTTCCTGCTGCGTGCGTCCACGAAAATCGTGGCGGAAACTCGATCGACTCACATAGTACGAAGACGGCCTTGGTGTAATCCACGCGACGCGCCATCGTGTCCTCTCGCTGGCTGGCTTCGCGACTCCGGAGACCACGGGGCACCGAGGAGGATTTAAAAAAAGTACGTCTGGTCGCGGCAGTTGCACGCAACACTGTTCTGTCGAGACGACGTTCGCGGAACTTGTGAGCCGAGCGAGGAAACTCGGGCGCAGGTCGATCGATAGTGGGAGCTTTCAGCATGCGCTGCGATGCTTTCCTATATATCTACGCGTGGACGTGTACCGTCACGGAGATGAGAAGATGGACAGAGGGTCGGGAGGATTTGCTCTCCCCTTTTACGATCTTTGCACGTACGGATCGAGCCCGATAATAAATAAGACGGATCCAAGGATCGATCGTACTCGAATTTCTCGAGTTTGCCGTCCGTTGGTCGCATAACGATGATAATACGTTGAAATTTCACCGGGAAAAGCACGTTCCTTGCTTTCGTTCGGTGACGTCGGGCGTCGGCGTTGGCGTCGGCGTCGTAGGAGGGTCGTCGAGGGTGCGTTGGTGTTAGTTGTTCTTTTCATTCACCTCATGCGCCCTGGCTGTGCCACAAGTATCTAAGACCACGGCTGTCAGCGATCTCCCCTTTCAAATCGAGCCACCGCGACGACTGAATGGGCGGTATTGACGTGTCCGCGGAATTGATTTTCCAATTTGTCCCTGTTTAAATCGCGTGCTTCTACGTCGGCGGGGTTGAGGGTTCGGTTATTTTCGACTCGGAACCTTTCTACGGAAGCGTCTAGATGGTCGGATCGCTCGAGAGGGATTTTCGGAACGGGGCCATGATGCTGCGGCATCTTGGCGAGGGTTGAAGGGCGCCGGAAATGGCAGCCGAGGACAGGTTTGGCGCATCGTAACGGCGCGTGGGCGATTCGTTACACTGGTAAAGTTCAAATAGTCATTTCTAAACGGAATTTCATCGTCATGGTTAACGAAAGTAAACGGCGAGAGGGCGAGGGCGTGATGAAATGAGACGACGGTGAAATTTATGGTTGGAGCAACATTATCTTCACGGACGTTCCACCTATGTCGTTGGTGCGCGAGATTGCGCTCATTTTTTTTCAGTTTCAATCTCCTTTACACCCACCATGAAATGGTTGTCGTAGCTGGTGAAGAAGTTAGAGAGTGCGAAAGTAAAAATAGAGCGTGTGATGCAATAGATAGAAATTGTGGTTGTCAATGTTATGAGATTAATGTACATAGGTCATGCAATGGATGGAAATTGTGAAAATAACTGTAATAGATCTGGACTGCAGATCTACGTATCAAATTGAAATTGTTTGCATAAATGCAAATCTCTTTCATTGATAAATTTAATTTTAGTAGCTCGAAGATAGTATATTCGTTAAATTTTATAATTTAATATCCACATGATTTCATCGTACATACATCAAATCCACAGTCCGGTAACAAAATAGGCATATGATACGATAGGTTGAAATTGAAAATCAGGAAAACAGGAAATTAATTGGAAAGAAAGGCAGAAATCAAATATGATTTTCGAAACAATACTATATACAAGAAGAAATGGGAAAAATAAAGATCTTATTAGGAAAATGAAAATAAAATGGATAATTCGCGGATTATAAACGTTCATCGTAGTTAACTACCTTATCGACTCATAAAGTGGAGACTGATTCGAGCGCCATCTCCTCATAAACGATATAAATTTGTGAAACTGTAGCGGTGCTGTAATTTATATTACGCAAAAGTAGCGTTGAAACGCAATATAAATCTTAAATTAGTTTCTTTTATAATCTTCGTATTGCTACGAAATAATTTCAGGTAATTGCAATGTAACATAAAGTCCCCAAGAACTCGACAGGGATTTTTGTAGATCCCAATTAACCCTTTGATCGATAATTAAGTTAATATTAAATACGGTTCATCGTTCGATGTCACTTTGGTTAGGAAACAGGAAATTCAAAATATGTCGAAAGTTCAATTGTGAATCCCTGATCCATTCCAATGACTAAGATGGACCAGGGCAGGCTCAGGATAGCTCTAGAAGTCCAATGGTTAAATTGACGGTAGACCAGGGTAGGTCAGGGTTATCGGGATAGGTCAAGGCAGGTCACCCTTGTCATCTTGGAACCTCCAGCTCCTGTCAGAGGATCCAGCTCGAATGATCCCTTATCTATAATATATAAGGAAGACTTATCGCTTATTTAAAAGGAGAACTCGTTCCTTATGTATCTCGTATGTACAAGTTACACATCCCGTATCGAAATCAAATCTCACCCTGTGAATCCACCAAAACTATAGTATAAAAAACTATAGTATAAAAGACTCCCAACCAAAACAATAAAGAGTATCATAACTGAGTCGACCTCGATACGTACAGTTTCATTCTAAAATCTATCATCGCTACTAACTAACATCATTTTAAGTTTAAGGGCAGAATAAGTTTAAGGACAACACCTATTTCGTTGGCGATCCTGACCCGAAGTCCCCGTGTCAGGCTCGACTCGATGGACTTACATACATGCGCAACGAAATACCAAATAACTTTTAAAAGATAATTACTATCATTAAATTTGTTTTCTACATTCATTGATATTCGTACATTCCTTTGCTTTTCGATACTGTTTTAGCGAACTATTTCTCAACTAATCGTTGTCCACGAGAAGAGGATTCTGTAATCAATCGTTAGTTACAGACCCTCTAATAAGAGATACGCAATAAGGGTAAAGTTAGGCCCGTTGAACACTATTTTTCAGCACGTCCATGTGCCGACCGCGTGCTTGTGTAATAAACACAAGCAAATAAAATGAAAACACAGATGTGTCGTACTATATACACATATGTATTACTTGTGCTTAAACATGGCAGCGCCAATCAGAATCGTGGACGTTATATTGTGTGACTCGAATTAGAGGATCTCTGCCGCGAATCGGTAAGGCAGTGAGACCTGACACAAAAGAGCCCATAAGGTGTAATGTCTATTCTTACATCTAGTCTGTGTAGAAATTAAGGAAAAGCGAACTATTTTACGCACAGTTTTCATACTTGAATAAGTTCAAGACCGTCGCAGGGACGCGGAAGTTTGTACATCGAATCAGTTTTGTATTCGCGCAACAAATTGGCAAGCATCTTTTCCGTGTGAAAGATTATGTTGGCTCTTTTTGTTAGAGTAAGGGATCACAGGATAATTAAATAGTACCAAATAAAACAAGCAGTAAGACGACGAGTTTGAGTCGAGGATTCACAATAACAAATAATCATATTCTAATGTATTGCCGTTGCTTAGTAATTAGTACAAATTCCCAGTACCCGGCTGAGAATCTGCAAATAATAACATATTCGTTACACTTGTAGATTTAACGTACATACATATACGATGCCAAATGAAGTAACTTTTTAATTCGTTTATTCATTAAAATGTTCCATATTCTCGGTACGATTAATAAATGTATGTATACGTATACACACAACGTGCACACTTTGTCCGATTACTCGGGAAGGGACATAAATTGCCATATTGAAATTAATGCATGTGCCATCTGGTACGAAATCTGCGAATCGAAATTGCTTTCAGAGACCTCTTAAGAAATATATGATCATTAAACTACTGTCAGGTTTGTTTGGGTGAGCCTAATATTATTTTTTTTCAGGCAACACTTGTCGATCGATTTTCAATTGCTACCATATTAGGACCGATTGCCCGAAATTCATTACCAGGAAGGAATTTCGCGACAACCGAAACGAAGATGTTCGAAGCCGAGAAGCGTAAGACACACGAGTATTTTCATTATACTTTGATGGTTATGTATTTGCCGAACGTTTCAATCTATGTGTCAACGTATAGTACATCGAGGCCGGTTTCGGCGATAGGAATATGAAATTATCCTTATTATCCCCTTACGAATAGAGAAATTTTTGACGATGCCGGCGCAAGAGAAACGAAAATTCTATAAAGGTAACGTCACCACGTTGGATCAGATTCCGACGTTGCAGGACTACTTCAATGAAAACAAGGCGAGGCTCATCGACAAAGACAACAAGGTCAAGAAAGTCGAAGAAATAGCGAAAAAAGTGTCCATATGGAGCGGTGATATTACTTCCTTGGAGATCGATGCCATCGTAAATGCAGCAAACTCGAGTCTTCTCGGTGGTGGTGGGGGTATGCAGACGTGTTTGTTAAAAGCGACTGGGTAAACAAGATAATTTTACTATATACAATATTCTTTAGTCGACGGAGCTATTCACAGATCTGCAGGAGCAAATTTGAAGCGTGAATGTGCTACTTTGAAAGGATGTAAAGTTGGAGAAGCTAAGATAACGGGGGGTTACATGTTGCCTGCTAAATGTTAGTACACAAACACATCTTAAAAAGCAGCAATTTCATGTACTGTAATTTTTTAGATGTCATTCATACCGTCGGTCCGCAAGGATCGGGTAAAGATAAGTTGACAGCGTGTTATCGAAATAGCTTGGCCTTAGCCAAAGAGAACGGATTGCGCTCGATAGCTTTCCCATGCATATCGACAGGGATCTACGGGTATCCTCAAGGACCAGCCGCGGAAACAGCTATGACCACCGTCAAAGAATTCCTAGAAAAGCACGGCGATACCGTAAGATTAAAATCTGATACTACGAGAGTCTGGTTAAAATATAGAATTGCTATGTTTTTTGTATTTGCAGATGGACAGAGTTATCTTTTGCACGTTCCTGAAAACCGACAGAGACCTGTACGAGGAATTGGCAACGATGTATTTGTCGAACTCATAAGGAGTATTTTTTCAGATTGAATAAAAACTGAGCATTGTAAAACTGTATGAAAGTGTGGATGAAATAATATTCTTAAAAAATATGAACACAGATATTCTTCCCCTGACATCATTCGGAGCATGGTAAATATACAGTTGAAAGGGGCCACCTCCAATTAAAACGACCTTGAAATATGTTGTCAAGGTCATTATTCATTTACATCTTTTTCTTATACATATAAAGGTGCTCTCTTTTAAACTGTTGATACTGTTGCAATGAACATATCTACGAATCCGTGACGTATTAGTATACGATCCGAAATTGCAATGTATGTGATAGTAATATACATATATAAACATCACACTATTTAAGAGAATTCATCTTTAAAAAAGCATTCGATTTTTCTAACCGGTTACGTAACTGTCTTCTTTAGGATAATGAGGATTATGTATCTCATTAATAAAAACATAAACGAATAAAATAGTTTGAGTATAATGGTTTTAAAGCAATCTGGAACATGCTTTTTTGATTGAATCCCGAATATATGAAATTCCTATCGCATTAAATCTCTAATCTGATTAGAAATTTCTATCTCCAACTTTTTTGAAAGTATCTCAAACACCAAGAGAAAATCGTACACTGTATCGATAGGAAAAAAGTAACCTTGACAACATATGTCAAGGTGATTGAAATCGTAGATGGCTCCCTTAAACTGCATGTTTACTCCAAGCATTCAAAAGATAACAAAAAAGGCGTGTATATTGTTGCAATACGATACCGAGTATTCCGAATTTAAATATTCGCGGGCGAACGCATAGCTCGTGGCCGAGCGGCCAGCGATTGGAGGTGACGGCAGCGCCGCAACTTAACGGTTCGTCCGCATCGTGCTTCGGCTCGACGACGGCGCGTCGCCATCTTGAAAAATCGAAGTGTGGTAATGTCTGTATGTGGTAATAGGTGGGGGACAGTCGTTAATGTGGTGCGTCTCGTACGGAAAATCTGTCACAAATGGGTAAATATCTTTTGCATTGAAGTCGCTGGTTCCGAGGGTCAGCCGGTCTCGTGGTTATCGCGTATCCCGAAACGCTTGAACGCTGGTAAAAGAAGCACACCCATAGCTGGCCGCTGGTACTACTCTCGCCGATCTGTCGTGGCGAAGGTGCGCTCTCTCGAGCGAGATCGCGGCTAGTGAACAGTGCGTGCGTCCTCGCGAGAGAGTACAGTGTCGATATCGTCCGACGTTTCGTTACGGCTCCTCCCGCGGATCGGTCTGGTGGCCGTGATACACCGAGTCGACCGTTTTAGCTGCGTGTACGTCCCCGACGTTCTATACGTCGTCGCATCTTCGAACGTCGCTCGAGACCCGAGAAAAGTGTGTGCGTGCCTGGGTGCGTGAGTGCGTGCGCGCTCTCTCTCTCTCTCTCCCTCTCTCTTTCTCCCTCTTTCGTTCTCTACCTCTTTCTATCCCAGCATGAAAATTCACGGCTACCTCGCCCCGTGAACGTGTAACGATCGTGTGTGGAAAACCGAAGGAACACGGTGGTGTGCTGGTTAGTATCGCCGCGCTTGTTATCCTCGCCGTAAACGGGTTCGCGGAGCCGCTCGTATCCGCTCGCGGAGGGATCTCTCTTTCTCCCGATCAAAACGGTCGAGCAAAAGCGGACGTACACGGACCGAGTCCCGTAATCCTGAATGGCCGCCGCCACCGCTTTCTAGGTTACTGACGGACACCCAGAGAGAGAGAGCAACGGAGAGAATATCGTCAGGTGGAACAGAGAGGAACGGAGAGGAACCGAGAGCACGGTAGACCGTAGAAGCGAGACCGCGAAGGATAGAGTGGGACAGAGGGAAGAGCGAGAAGGAGCTCGCGCGAGTTTTCCAAGGCGGAGTGAGACGCGGCGGTGAGGCCCGTGCGTGCCGAAGAGGAAGACAGACACACACGGAGCGAGCGAACGCGAGAGCTCGCGCGCTCGCGACTCCATACACGAGCGAGCACCGATGTGCGACCACCGAGGTACGCGATCACCATCACCCGGGTGGATTTCTCGCGTCCGTCGCCGATCTCTGATCGGGGACTCGCTGCATGTGGCGGGCAAGGCTTAAATCGCTGCTACTGCCATCGCCGTCACCGCCGCCGCCGCCGCCGCCGCTGGCTGGTGCCGCCGTCGCCGTCACCGCCACCGCTGTCTTCGTCGCACACGTCGACATCGATACCGACATCGAGGCCGAGACTTTACCTTAAAGATAAACGACCTGCGTAACCTGCGGCCCCCATCTGTTCGCGTACGAATCCTCGTCGTCTACACATGCATCATCCCCGTCGGCCCGAGTGCACGACGGCAGACACCCAGTGATACAGAGTCCCCGAGCTTAGCCTTAGCTCCTCGTCGACGCGTCCTACCTACCGACTGGTAATAAGTGGGTGTGGGTTCCGTTCGTATGGCTGTGTGTGCGTGCGCGTGTGCTCGCGTGTACGTACCCCGTGTACCTGCGCTCCCGTGCGTACCTGCCTATGTATGACTGTTCGCGCTTATGTGCACGATACTGTAACCCTGGTAAGTATTACTAGAAATCCTCAGATTTTCAAGAGCTGCCACAGCGAGAGCGTCGGTAAAAAAGATTGCTCTCGGAAAGTCGCTAAGCTTTTCTCTTTGTCTCTCTCGCTCCGGCTCCTCTGCTCTCTTTCTCTCTCTCTCTCTCTCTCTCTCTCTCTCTCTCTCTCTCTCTCTGCCTCTCTGTCGCTCTCTATCTACCTTTCGATCTCTGTCGCGCTTGCATGCTCACGGACAGACGTACACGCACTCAATTTGGCTCCGAAAAGGCTTCCCCCTCTGCAGACCTCTTCACCGGCGGCTTCACCTTTTATTTTCGCCCTCGTAGTCGCCGTATACCAGCAACTTTACATTTTCGTTTCACGGCTGTCACTGTCCACGCGAATCTATCTCGTTGACGCCACCCGTTACGACCGCGGCGGACCATTATCGGCCGTTAATCCGTTCGGTTCTACGGCGGCTGCATTAACAACGGAATTGTTATTTTATTATACGGAGTGCACCGTTTCGGAACGCGCAGACAGAGATACGGACGGAAAGGAGAAATTAATAAGCAGGGCTGTATTGTGCTCGACGGCTTCGGGTGCTTTGGAATTGGCCCCGCGCACCTCCCCCTAGATTAAAACTTTTATATTGTATCATAGACTATTTGCAATCGAATTAACCGTATCTGTAATTGACTTAAATTAATGGCAAGATCGGGAAACGGCTCGAGATTGGGGAATGATTTTAGTTATTGTAAAAAATATGTAGACAGCTGAACGCTTCATGGACATATCATTGTCAAGCTCCGAATTGTTACGCATTCATTTTTAGCAGACTCTCGAGTCGTAACCGCTAATTTCTCCAAAAAGGGGACTAATATATCCGACCAACTTCCCCGACATCATCAAGTTATAACAATTGTAGGGGTTGGACAGTCATCGTGGATCTTTAAACGAATCTTCATTTCTATACTTAATACCATGGAAATGAAAAAGAAAGACCTTCCTGCGGTACAAATAAAGTGAAACTGTTACCAATTGCTAGCGTTTTCTTGTACATTAGAAGTTTTCGTATACGACGAACGGGTAAAACGGAATAAAATTCTGCAGCGATCGAAGGGTTTGTCGCAACGAAGGGGCAGTTCCGCTTCGATTTCGCAGTTCGATAATAACCGACGCTGGGCATCGGGTCTCGAAAAGCAGGCTGCATCGGGCTATCTCGTGGTATAACGACCATACGTGGCCATATGTGCCCGATCGTTTGACAACTCGGACGCCTTCTTCGGTCCGCCCACTTCCTTGTGCGCCCGACGGGCAACCTGCGAGAAGCCCCTGTCGAAATACATTTCTCTCTCTCTCTCTCTCTCTCTCTCTCTCTCTTCCTCATTTTTTTTTATTTAGCTTTCCGTCCCTTTGTCTCGTTCGCCAAGAGTCACCCACGCTACTACCGTGTTCTCCCCTCGCGTGTAACCTTTTGTAAATCCGCCCGGTACGAGACATCGTTCCCTAGCCTCGTTGTCAACCGTGCGCGTATGCAAACGGAGAGGTGCACCCTACTCTGACGCGGTGCACGTTTCCACCACACGGTGGGACACACACACGCCGGTTTGCGAATTGTGCGCGATTCCTCGTTATCGATTTTCCGCGTGCAGTTATCCGCGAGGATAGGACGAAGAAGGCGAAGAACGCGTTCCGAATGTAATGGTTTCCGATAATCCCGGTATCGAAACGCTCCGGGAGCTGACCCGCGGATATAATTACGGCGGCGGGGCCGACGATTGGATCCGGCGAGCCGGCGACCAAGTCTCGAAAGGCTTTCGTACGAGGAAAATGGCTGCACGGTGTGCGTTCGTCTGTGCCGGAAATACTGTAAATAATTAATGGCTCTCGTTGCGCGATGCAACGGCCTCGCTGGAACGGTCCGTTTCACGAAACTACCGGCCGTGGTAACAGGGGTTGTAGTAGAACGCGCTTGGACGTTCGTGGGCCGTTTTATAGAAATTAACTCCGCCGGCTCGTTTAAATTCTGGGCCCTTCGAATCGTCGCTGCGGCGCGCGAACATGGACACGCCGGGCCCTTTAACACGTTCGCAGACACGAACGCGATAACGTTGAAATTTACAAGCCACATTGTCACGCGTTCGATTCTATACAGCGTTTATTTCATTGAAATTATTACACGCTTTAATGCAATAGCTGTCCGGTTCACCGTTTATTTCTATTTTATTTTTCGTCTTTTCTTGGTGTACGAAAAACGTATCTATCGCAATGCGATACTCCGAACAGTCGTACAAAGCGTGATCAATCAAGATTTGGACGACGCGATTGGTTTAACACGTTGGCTGCCGTGGGGGTCACCGGTGACCGGCGACGCGACAAATAGTTGAAATACATAATTAGGGTAAACATCGATACTTATAAATTTCTAAATAATACCATTGTTTTTGTAATGCTTTGAAGAAATTAATGCCGTACAGGACATGCAAAAATAATTTTATTAGTACAAGGAAAATATACATGTTATTTGTGCGCGTAACGATGGAACACATTGAAACACGGAAGGCACA